CACGAAACCCCGCCTCCCAGCCGCCTATCTGGTTGAATCAGGGTACATCAAGCTATAATTTGAAATCCTTATGGTGTAATCTTCCGTATTGTCGAATTAAACGGCGCAGCAACCAATTTGATTCATATGTAAGTAAACGTTTGTAACGGATAAGTAACAATGCCTAAGTAATATTGTTACCTTTTGGACATTCTTTTAATACACAAGTTCTTTCCAATATTTCTAAACCCCGAAAAATAATTTTGAGAAATGCCACCGACGACGCGACAAACGAGCAACAAGTCCCGATTGTGAAGTGGACGAGTTTCTCGTGACCAGAATGAAACGTCAGGCATATAACCCTAAGGGCATTCTTGACATCGTTAAGGTCCTCAGCAAAACGATGGCAGGAGAAGGTCAGACCATATCTGCACCTATCATTTTGTTGACACTGTTCTTATAAACAAAAACCATTGCAGCACCCGGTCCTGGAGGTTGTCTAAAATTCCCAGCATGCGTACTTGCACAGGCTAGAAGAAGAAAACGACATGCCGAGCGCATGGAACAGTACCATAAGGTGTGAAAATTCTCATTATTTTTTGGCCCCTCTATCTTGGAGTTTTAGCAAGTGGCTTCGCTCAAACAAGCCCATGAAGAAAAGATGGAGCAGCATATTCGCCAAAAGCGACAATTCTTTTCTCCTGATGCCAATACAGTACGTTTTTAAACCATAATCTTACTAGATGGTAGCTTATTATGAATCAGAATTGCTCGCCGTGCCCGGCTTGGGTGACCGTTGCGTTAGCCAGCAGGAAGAAGAGATCTACCAATTCGTCAGAAGAGCACGATGAACCACGAATGAGTCTTTCTGAAGCAATAGCTGACATCCGAAAGAAGGGAGGATACAAGTTAGGATTTGATGTAGGTTATTTTGGTTCCGACACCAACAACTGATGAGGAGTTTTGCTTTGTAAGGAAATTTTTACTGAGGAGCTCGTACCATTATAGAACTTTTCATTCTCATCTATACTGGGGTCACAAATTACGCCTTCTGCTTTCTGTGGTGTTTATGATCCTTTCTCTCCGCTTTAATCATTCGCTGATATATCATGTTGTTCAGCATT